AGCTTCCAATGCCACATTAGGCTGGAATGTGAAAGCTGTCCAGGCAAGAAATGATCCAATTTTCTCCTGGCTTTAATTACAAAGAGGATCCCCTTTCATTGGTGGGGCCATTGCTGTCCATTTCTGAAGAGCATTGTGGAAAATGATCAAGTCAAGCATAGCCAGAATGCTTAAATCTGGACCGTCTACATGCGGCTGTGACATGGTGATATTATATATGAAACTCACATATCCACAGTCTCTGTAAAGTGACCTCCAAACAAAGAGTAACTAAAAACCAAGTGACTTTGTTGTGCCCAACAAGGTCCATGTTAACATTGATGGCTGAAGTCCAGTCACTCAATGGCCAAAAAGTAGTTTCTTTAATAATCATGTTGTTTGTGTTGTGGTGATGTGTAAGACAAAATAAAATAAGTGGATAAAGGGTAATGTGCCCTGTAACTGTGTCTTTTTGGAAATGTTCCTTTTCTTGGCTTTTTCCACGCCAACAAAATAAAAGCATAAATTATGTTTAATCCCTGGAGCAGAGTCATTATGCCTGAAGCCTGTTGGTAATGGGCTATGCCCTTTCTAATCTAAATAAAGCTAAGTGTTTGTAACAGCAGCTGCATTATGGAAAATCCAATTTGTGATTGCAACATCTGTACTGAACCCATGGGTAGTTCTTTGTAAGTCCAAGCAGCTAAGCTGCATGTCTTTTCCATCATTGCCCTTCCAGGAAACTAACATGCACATGACCTTGCATGCAATAATAATAATTCATGTGCAAAAACTGGGCCCTGGTTTTTATGAGGTAAAAAGAATTAGCATCCAGATATTCTCAGACATGCAAACTCATGCATGCAGTACAGAGAACAGAGACACTGTATTACACATAGGCACAGAAGCAAACATACTAATACACAGCATCAGAAAAAAACAAAAATGAGGGATGTTATTTGATGAAAATCAAATGTATTTGCTTGTTAATTATATATTTTTCATATAATGCTATAAAGTATAAAATAAACTAACTATGAGAACCTTTAAACAGTCTAAATCGTATACTGCTGACTCTGTGTGACATCTAAAAGCAAACCAGACCATCAACATGGAGATTGGCTTTATTCTTAAAGTCTGTCTCCTCTGTCATTGTTTTTGGTTCCACCTTTTGCTGGCATTCTCCCTAGTATAGTTTTATTTATTAAAAAAATACATTGTCTGTAGTTTGTAGGTGGGAGGCAATTTCTCTTCAGTGAATAATGGAAATGAATGTACATAGCAGACTCTGTAAAGAGAAAAAAGAGATTTTAAAAGTATTGAGTGAAGAAAAGTTGAGTGCAGACTTTTTCAGAGAAGTCAGCCTGGGTCAGAAGCCTATTCTGATTGATCTATCTTCCTCTGCTGTGTGCAATCAAGGCCACTTTGGACATTACTGTAAACAACTGGCTTTAAAGGCAACATGTTTGTACTGATACCAAGCCATGTCTTGCTTTTGTCTTTATATCATTAGGATATAAAAAAATATATATTTAGCATAATTTCTATTACGTACAGAGCAACTGAATTGGTATATTGTAGACTAAACCAGATTTATGAAAGCACTATGACAAGTATACAAAGTTTCACCGTTACCAAAGTATCCTTTTTTTAATCTTACATGAAGTCATTGCGTCATTGCTATTCATCTGCAAAAAGCTGTGTTAAAAATACTAAACTGTTCTTATAAGAAGTAACATCTCTCTTCGCACTTCTCTCAGAGAAATGCACTCACTGGCTGGATAAAATCACGTTTCTCACAGCTGCTTTAACATGACATGAGGCAACGAAAGAGATGCAGATATAAGAACCTGTGACAGAAATCAATACAGGCACAGACTTAAAATATCTTGTCTTTTTGGCTCTGAGAAGCCTTTTTCTTGTGTTTGTGACATAATGCCAACCGAAGTAAGCTAGATGAGTTAAGTCACCATCTTGGCCAACACCTCGCCCTGTACCCCCACCTGTCATATCCTGTCAGTGCATATGTCACAAGTAGAAGGACATGAAGAAAGGGGACCTTTCTCACATGTTTGGGAGGTGTCCAGAGGCTTATTTGTAAGGCTGCAGGGTGTGGCAGGTAAACCTCCACCTCAAAGGGAACAACTCCCTCCCATGTAATTGGCTCCATCAGATCAAGCTGCATGACATTCCTTCAGACTGTTTTATGTGATGATTGCCAAAAGACAGAGCTAACTGCCATCAAAGGGGACTATCTCCGATTTGGATCAGTGGTGCTTGATGGGATATCATTGTGTCATTAGTTCAGGTTTCAGACTACACCCTGCTAATGATTTATGCTGAACGAATCTTCCTGAGCGACACAAACAAGCAAAACACGACAGTAAACCTTTGGTCAATAGCCCACAAAATGCATAAAACAGCACTTACACAGAACAGGGAGTTACTCACCCCAATAAGAGATCCCGTTATCAGAGCTGGGGCCGTTCTAGTGAGTCGGAGGAAGGATGCATCCTCAGGCAAAGCAGAGATAAGAGCCTTTGATAGAATTAAGCTAACGTCAAACAGCCAGTAGATGAGTTCTGTGAAGATAAAGCAGCCAGGACTGACAGATCTGATAATGGTCCAAACAAAGAGAAAGTGGAGATTAAGGGGTTCCTTTTCAGGCAGTTAAGTGGACTGCCCAGAGGACACACCAAAACATGGCTCATCTGTCACGGACAGGAGGAATGGATACCATCACTGACGCTTCATCCAGAGGACAGATAGTATCTAGGAATGTATGTCAAGAATGCTTAGTCTGCTAGACCATAATTTAGGTTTTCAGGATGCCATCAGGATTTGACTTTATCTGCCTGTTTTCATTCTGTATCATTTATTAAGAAATCTAGCTGGTAATCAAATGTGAGGGTGAAACTACAATAATTATGATAGACAAATAAGCATCAAATAAAAAGGGGTAGTGTAAGGGCAATTAAAAATATGAATACTTTGAAAACAAACCAACAATGAGTGAAGTACAGCAAACAGAAACACACACTACAAAATATACTGTATCTCACCCAACCTGTGCCCAGAAGGTAGGTCACTTCTTGAATTATCTGTCAGCTGTAATATATAAATATAATGTGTTGTGACCGGTAGTGTGTGAAAGTGATGAGCAGAGAAGTGAGTAGTAAGCTAAAAGTCATTAAGTTATTGATGGATGGTTAAAGTTGTGGATACATGGTTTACAGTCAACTTAAAAGTAAATGCTGTGATAAAAGCAACAGTTTTCACAATGAATAATGAATAAAGAGTAAAAATTATTTCTATGAATAGATACACAGTTGAAGCTTAGCCAAATGCTTTATGCCAAAGATTTAGTTAGCCAAAAGTATACAGAGAGAGGAAACTGTTACAGCTCTGGCTGTGATCCTGTTTCTGTGTATCCTTTGTGTCACCTCCCTCTCTGTCTGTGTGTGTGTCTCTGGAGGGTGTGGCTGCAATCAACACCGGGTGACTACTCACACCTGCAGCTCATCTGCTCATCTGCATCAAGCTAAAAGCCCTGGGCTCAACTCGACTCATTGCCAGATTATTGAGTCTACTGAAGTGGTAGATACTATCGGCTGCTCCTAACATTTGTTAGAGTTTTGTTCCTAGCGTTTTACTAGTGGATCATAAGTGATTTCTCTTTCCTGTTGTCCAGATTCTCACCGGTGTCATCTCCTCCAGTCTGCTCTCCTCACAGACAACTCAACCACTCACCCGCCTGCCTACAGAACCAGCTACTCCATAGTCTCCTCCACGCCGTCATTACCAGCCAGCCAGTCAGCCATCCACCTTTCCCAAACCCTGCAATAAAACCTCAAATCCTTCAACTTTGCTGCTGTGTCTGCTTTTGGGTCTGGATACAAACCGTAACAGAAACAGTACAGTTGAAATAGTTTGCTAAAAGTTAACGATAAAGTTTTAAAAAGTTGGACAAAAAATATTAATAAATAGTTTAGATATTTAGTTGGAGTTGAAAAAAGTTAGAAAAAGGTTATGAATGACCACTCGTGTTCTTTAAGTAATGGGTGATCAGCATAAATTATCATCTTAAAGAATATATTCTGTTGAAATAGGTAGCCAAAGGTATAAATTAAAAATGTAAGGAGGTTGTGGCTCAGTTTGTACAGTTGGTCGTCTCTCAACCGGAAGGTCAGGGGTTTGATCTCCAGCTCCTATAGCTCCTGCAGCTACATGTCAGATGTGTCCTTTGGCAAGACACTTAACCCCTAGTTGCTGCAGAGAGTAAACAAGCAGACAACAAAATCTGAAAAATAAACAAATAAAATAAAAAAAATCTGAATCTGCAAGTCTGATGTCCTCTTGCAGGCTGTTCCAAAGTCTGGGGGCTCTGACAGCAAAGGCCCTGTCCCCCTTTGGTTTTTAGCCTGGATTTTGTAACAGCCAGTCGGGCTCTGCCAGAGGATCTCAGACTGTGGTCAGACTTGGTTCATTCAGTAGTCAGAAGACTAGAAAAGCGCTCAAGTCCATTTATTATTTACAATATAAATAAACATCTGGAATATTCAGCCAAGAGTAAATTAGGCCTATAAAGATTTGAAACAGGTAACACAAAGTCATGAATAAACAGTTTGAATTTAAACTTGACACTAATCCGCTTATTTTGATAAATAGGTTTTAAAAGACAATGTTTTGGTACAGGTAAAGTTACCTGAGCTCACCTGAATGGGCAACAGGTTTTGCACCAGAGTAAAAAAAAAATCATTGGTACTTTTTGAATCCTTGTAGTGATGGCTTTTTCTACCCATACCCCCCCAGTCCTGTAGAAGCTGCTCACCCTCCACAGTCTAAGAGAAAGTGAAAAGCTGATGTGGAGTTAATGCTGAGGAGGCAGAAAGTAGAGACAGTCCCAGCACTCAGCTGTAACATGGTCTGGCACAACACTAACAAAGGAAATGAGCAAACCACACAGCAAATAACAGACTTTAATTCAACACTCTGGGCCCCACTGCTTACATCTGGGTGCCAACCTGCAGTCACTTACAAATAAACTGATTTATGAGAAATATTACACACAAATTACTACATTTGTCTAGACAGCACATGATTGTACCTTTACTTACACTGGCAACACTGAGTTTAACTTTCATGAATATGTACAGTATATTGGTATATGTCAAACATTTCTGGCTTCCAAATTCGCACTCAGGACTAAATGGCATGAATCAGCAAATAAACATTTCTCGCAGTGAAAAACTTCTACAGGATACATATGAGCTTCTCTGCCTTATAAACTAAAGTCAATCACACTTCCTACAGAAAATAAATATGATTTTAAGAATTCGAGAGCATATTTGTTGTAATTCTACATGGTCAATGGCATTCATCTGTGAAAGCAGTTTAAGTTTATGTGAGATTCTGTTAAATGTCATTTCATGATTTGGTACTTTTGTACTTATTTTAAGCTTTTCTCATTGTATATAAATAGTTTGGATATCAGCAATAAAGTTTAAGCAGCTAAATGTTTATCTACAAGACCAAATCTTAAGCCCAGATATGAACATTAAGGTGTTATTGAAACACCTTTGTAATTAAAGTTTGTATAATTACCTCATTGTTGTGATTATTATTACACTCTCAGACTGTGGACTGTAAAAAAAAGGAACATGAGGCTCCAAACACAAGTTTCTTTATTTACTAAAAACACTAGGCTGCATAACTTCAAAGGCATCTACAATGAAGTGTAATAAACATCACGTTTTGGTTTGTTCTGTTTAACATCATCGCTAATAATGCACATTTGTAACGTATGAAAATCTAGTGTGGCAATTGCAAAGTACTGTTGGACTATAACTGAAACAATCACCTGTAAGAGAACACTGACAACTGAAGCCAAGCAGAGGTTCATTTCCTCATTCTACCATCCACACATTAATACAAGCAGCATGATCTGCAGATGGACGGAGAGAGGCTCCTGATGCATCACAGCCTATTAGGAGGTGACAAAGTCTCTTAGCTCGTTTTTTTTATTTTTATGACCAAACATTGCTTGAGCCAAACAATACGTTGTCTCTTTTATTTCACATGTAGTTAGGAAGCCAATGAGGGATCTTGTTGATGACCTGGCCTGCATGTTGAGGGAAGTAACATGTCACATTTATGATTTTCCACCCTCTTCACAGTCAAACAGATGAGTTGGCTGTGACAAGAGTTGGTATACAAGGGCCTGCTTCAAATATTCTGAAATATCATAGTGGAAAGCACAGGTTTAAGCAATGAAACCGATAATGACAGCTCTCCGTTTTGGTTTAAAATTCCCAGGCTTATGGCACTGGTGCCTGTGCGTTCCTGTGATGATAAGTCATTATGTCTCCTGTGATAAAGGTCAATTTGTCAGTCAACTTTAAAATATGGTAACATTTCCCTATAGCAAGGAAAAACAGGTCTCAGATTTGATACTAACAAATAGTACTAGTTATTTGTTGAATAGTTGTCACAGTTTACTGTGCAGGTGCAACAGTTTGTTTTCTACACGTACTTCAGTCCTTTGAAAGCTGCTCTTCCATACGCTTCTTCATCAGCTTTATTTTTAGAGTGTAATATTCCTCCTGCAGCTTTAAGACTGCATCTTGTCTTCTCAGCACACTCATTTCCAAATCCACTCGCTCCTGCAGAGTTGTGCAGTGTGCAGCTGGTGTCGAGGTAGAGCAGGGAGGATTTAGCTGTTCTGCAGAAGCAAAGCTAGCAGCACAGGGAGTGCTAAATTGCATTGGAAATGATTTAGGGATGTTACTAAAAAAAGTCATTTTTTGTTCTTCTGGAGAAGTTGAGGGATCTGGATATGTGGGGAGCTGAAGCTGTGTGGGCGGGTGTGTGTTTGTGAATTGTTCATCCATTGTGTGGTCATTACCATCTTCATCACTGCTGTGGGAAAAAAAAAGGTTACCAGTGAATTTTGGTGTGAACTTTCATTTAATCTTAACAAATAAAGGTTCAAAATGGCATATACAACTAGTTCTACTTTGAGGTACACATGACAAGTACAAATAAAACATGGATTACCTGTTTTGCTGAGTTTGCATCATCTCTGAAACTGAAGAGTCCTCTCTATCTTGTTGTAGAATATTTGAGAGGTTCATCACAGAAATAACTACTCGGGTCACGGTACTTAACTCTTCAAGGGACAGCCTTTCTGTAGATACAAGATTAGAAAAATATATACAAAAAAAAATAGAGTACAAGAAACTGAAAATGGGGTTTATATATTCCTCTGGATTTTTTACTCAAAGAGTATTTTTTTGCAGTCAACAAGATCTTGGCTTAAAATCTTGTATTATTGCTGACAAGCAGCAAATGGTCCTCACCTGTACCTGCTTGTTTTTTGTGTCGTTTGATCTCCTCCCTTGACTTTGCCAGCAGATTTTCCCACTTTTTGTTACAGTCTGAAACTGTGCGCTGAATATGTGGAAAGGCAGCATTAATAGCTTGGGCAATTTCCTCCCAGGCTTGTCTTTTATCCTGTATAGAAACTCCAGTGCTGCACTTTCCTCTAATTATTTCTTTCCTATCTTGCATTAATTGAGCAAGAAGAAGACACTCCTGATCTGTCCAGTTGGGTCTTCGCTTCCTGCTGGACATCCCTTCAAGAAGTTGTTGGGGCATTTTTATATTTCTGAGAAAAAAACACAGATGAAAAACATTTCTATTATCTGCAAGAACTTCTGCTCTTTAATACATTACAGCAAATGCATACAATGCAGACGATTTAACATGAATACTTTAAATTACAAGATAGGCTATGTTCATGTAACTGAAGCGTCAAGCCTCCCATTTAAGTGTTCTTAGACTTAAGTAATTATTTTTAAGAGGTTCTTGATATGTAAACATTTCCCTTACCTGCAACTCAGTCAATGTGAAGAGTAGCTTGATACCAGGCCATACACGTTCGGTATGTTAATACTATGAGGTGTACTTTACGCTGTAGTAAATAATTACTGTTAAAACCTTAAGGCAAAATGTAAGGCTTTCTTCTCCGTCTTAGGGAAAATCCATGCCGTCGCAGGAAAATGACGTCCTCAAGCGGTGACGTGTCAGTTTGTTTACAGCGGTCTCTGCGCTGCAGCTGCACAGACATGGCTGTGGATATAACTTTGCTTTTCAAAGCCAGTGTTAAGACAGTTAAAACCAGGAACAAGGCAATAGGAATAGGCTTTGACTCTACAAAAGATGAGATTTTCAAGAGGAGCAAACCGAAGGGCGGCTTCTCTCCGAAGGCAAAAGAAGTGGTGAGTGTATCCGACAGCTAACTGTTGCTAACTGTGCTAGCATCGGCACAAACTGACTGTACATGTTATGACAGCTGAATAGTAGACTCTGTGAATGAAACTTTACCACATGCTGTATCGGAAAGGCAGCTGTAAGCTTAGGAAGTGTGTCGAGCAAGTCAGGAAATAATTCTATGCTTGTTTTCGCCTAAATGAAACCAGATACTTGAGTTTAGTACAGTTTGTACTAGCTGTGCAAAGTTAGCATAGCTTCTTCAGCTTGAATACTCTATCATCATATAGAGTTAATATAAAATACTCTATCATCATATAGAGTTAATATAAAATACTCTATCATCATATAGAGTTAATATAAAATACTCTATCATCATATAGAGTTAATATAAAATACTCTATTATAATATATAAATTATTGTATGCAAAGAGAACATTGAAATTCTTATAACCAATGAGTGGACCATTGATTGATAAAATCACGGACAACATTTTCTGCTTCATGCCAGATATAACCTTTATTGAATGAAAAGAAAATAAAGTCACGTCAATGATTCTTCATCATCACAAAAATATTCAGTTAGCACTTTTGCCATTATATAACTAAGGAGACATATTAAAGGGACTATCTCACTTACAGTATATTATGGTCAAATATCTGGATCTCTGTAAATGTTATGATCTCATATGGACATGATCAGGATTGATATATTTTAAGTTGGACTGTTGATTCATGTTTTTGGCTCTTCTTAAATTGTTTTTTGGGGCCTTATAACGGCAGCCTCCCATTTGCATCCTAAAATTTTAAAGAATTCCAGTCTATTCATGGAAAAAAATACCACATTGGTATGAAAATCGTATTATTATAGACATGTTTCGATGATTCAATGGTCATGTGTCTGCTGTCATTTCATTCAGTTTATGCATAGAGTTTATCCATATGTTATCAAAATCCAATCAGCTAGTCTTGTGAGGACAATAGTGGGATTTGATAAATTTTTACTCATTTCAAGAAACGATTTCACAACCCTAGACAGGAGGAATAGTCCTTTATAGTCTATATTACATTAATAAGCACAAATAGCATTCGAACCAGAACAATTATCAGAGAATGAGAGCTTTCCCTCTTACCTATAAATATTTTAGTTGTCTTCATCCCCTTCAAAAGAAGCTTTCTCAGAGCCATTATCTACATTACAGCCGTCCTTCGTCCCTGTTTCACTGCAACATTCTTGGAATGAAGTAAGACTTAATACTATATGCAATCTTCTGCTTCTAATACTTTTGGCCTGTTACTCTTTAAATAGTATTACAAGGTGCACACTGTTCTTGCAAAATAAGGACATTGCATTTGGAATTGGTGAATGGCCTTAGATTGTGTATGGTGCTTTTCACTGTTACGATCCGTCTTAACCACCATGTTCAAGCAAAATGTGAACACAGTATCTTTGTAGCTTATACCAGTGAATTAGATTTGTTTAAAGTGAAGGTAGGCAGGTCTACACTCAGGTCAGATCAGCCTACTTCTACTTCTCTTTTTCTTGAACCTCGTCGGGACTAAAGAAATGTTCAGACCCTGCCCTGTGTGGGCAGTTAAGAAGAAGTTACTGCTTGAGTTGTAGAATGACAAAAGCTAACTTGTTTAAAAAAGGAAAACATTTTTTACATTGACCTAACTTGCCAGAATCAGTACGTTTGAGCCCAGAATGTTGTTTTTTTTGCCAACTACCAGGTCTTTGTGCCACTTTTCCCGAAACACTGACAGGTCGTATTGTTGGACTTGAACGGACCTGGAAAATTACCTGATGCGATTAAGACTTAAGACAGCCGAAATAATTTGAACAGGCACTCAATCAATATATATACTGTAGGTGTGTAGCTGCAGGAACTTTCACATAGCACTGGGCTACTACTAATTAAGTTCAGAGAAATGCATTTAAAATGTTTTTTATTTCATACATGTATTGATGCATCATCAATTCTGTGCCATAGCAGAAAGATCCTTTGCAGCTAAAAGGCTCCTCTTTCTTTCACAATTGTTGTTCTACACTAGAGCCTGAAGTCCTTGGCCTGAAATGATATTCATGAACACAACCCCTCTTCAAAGGCACCTTGAAGAACCACTTTACCTTTCCCTAGGGGAGTAAAGACTTTAACTTGTACCTGATGTCTCAAACCATCAATGTGAGCCTGGTCGCAGCAGCTCTGCACAAGCAGGTTTTTGTTATGTTCTGTTACATTTATATTAGAAATGGTGGTTTAATAAAAGCAGTGGTGCTGATTCAAAGAAACCTTAACCTATCCTGTGGTGCCTGCCCTCTGCTCTCTTCCCCCCCTACCGCTGTCTCCCTCGCGCTACAGATGTAATCTCAAAGCATCTCGGTGAAGCAGCTCTTGTAGAAATTGAGATTGCAAGTTTGGAATGTCCTGACTGCTTACAGTTATGTTGCGGTTTTCACCCACAACTCAGCTCTCTATTCTTCTTGGTGCAGCCCGACATAGGCAGCATTTTTTATACAAGACCCCTCTTCACATGTATGATTCCATAAACATGCTGCAATAACATTTTCTTTCGGCTCTCGAACAATTTCTTAGGGAAAGCCGATCCTCCCAAGAGCCAGTGATTAAAGGTGGAAGATCAAAACAGAGAAAATATTAAATTAGGTCCCCAGTAACAATGTTGACGGCCGGTACCCTAATGCACAACAGATGTGGGTGCCCTTCAAGACATGCAGAACTCTCCAAGTTCCCACTGAAGCGCCACAAAAATAGAAAGAAAACATCAAAGATGACAAACACACAGTGGTCCTATGAGGCTTTTTTCCTCACACAAAGCAGCTCGATGAGAAAGGAAATAGCTTCTTTCAAGGCGATGCAAAAAAATGGCTTAATTGACTAATAAGAGGGCCAGTGTTTACAGGGTGGGGTTTGTTCAGGGGGAATCTTTTCCTTCATAGGGGCACTGTGATCTCCGTTTCACCGCTCACCTCCTCTCTCCCCACAGCATGCTGCCCTTCTCCAGTTTAAATGGAGGGGGTTACTTTAAAATTGCTAAATTGTGTGTAGAAAATAGCGCTCAGCTCCCCACTGTGCCTTTAGTATTGGTATTCCAAAATTGGCTGCTTCTCACAGTGTTTTCTTAGAAACTCTGAAAAGTATGGCCATCGGCCAGCACTTAAAAGAATGTGTGCTTTTAGAGATTTATTCTTACTTTGGATAATTTTCACATTGAAATAGTATGCTCATATATTCTCACATATGTTTTTACATAAATTATGATTGATCTAATTTCATTGTAAAATTCATGTAAGATTTTATTTTCCCAGTGAATTACACTGAGATAAGTAAAATCTGTAATGATACATTCAAGTTTTTGAAGTGGCTTGAAGGATAGTATTTATGATGGTGTGATTCAAGTGAAACTGGAGTATATTTTCAGATCTGTTGCGTTAAACAGATAATGTACACACATGGTGTACAGCCACTGCAGCAGACAATGTTCAGCCGTGACATTTATGAGTTGTCATTAATGTCAACCATGTAAGGAATCAAATGCACAAGTGTGGCAATGTGCCTCTGTCCTGCTCCAGGCCTCAATCCTGAAATCAACTCTGTTGTCAGTGAAGTAGCAAAACGCTACAGCTTATTATGATTATGAATATTGTCAAAATATCCTTCAGACAATTAGTTAATATTTCAGATAGAAAAAAACCTGAGTTGTTTACTGGATTGGTAAAAATAGAATAGGTCTCTCCGACCCCTAAAAACCTTTTTCTCTTCAATAAGTTCTCTCATTAAGTCCCCATGTTGGCACATAGGTAGAAAGCTGCTGGCATACAGCTGTCAAAGCTGAGGCTGTTCATCGTCGGCGCTCAGTCACGGGGAAGTGATTTGCAGGGATCACTCTGAGATGAACGGGCTGCTAAACGGTCTCTTTACCAGTTGGCCTAATCTCTGCAATGTTTGCCCACAAAAGCCGGGCAAATTGAATTTTGAGACATCTGCTGTCAGGCCAAAGCACAATCTTGATGTTGTTTCTCTGCGTGCAACAAAAATGTCGTCGCATGATTCATGAAAATAAAAGAGGAAACTGTGGTGAAAAACATATTTTCAGATTCATGTTGAACTCTAAATCATGGACAGGCAGCAGATACTCTGTGTGGAATAAATCATTTAAGTGTAAAAAAGAATTGTTGAGCTTGATAGACAAGGTTTATCGTAAACATTTGAACATGTAGCAGGACTGAAGCAGCAGCTGTTGACACTTTTTGAAGAATGTGTCGTCCTTTGTCATTAGACAATCGTACTTATTGTGTTTTACAATCAGTGAAAGACTTCCAGTACAGAGGGCAGCAGGCTGCATAGCAGACCCTGACACTTAAAAAACAGAGTTTGAACCATGAAACTGCAACACATGTTCGTGTCTGTACTGAAAGACGTCGTGCAGAAAGAGAGCACTGTTACTTTTGTTCCAGATGAAGATGTTAGTCCAATCAGACATGGGGTATTTATTATGTATCGTCATTTCGCATTTATACTGAACGCTTCGAGTAAAACTAAAGCGGCTAATGTTGTTTAGCTAACAGTAAACATGTTGTTTATTTTTCTGTTGTGGTCACCATTTATGTGCAGCAGATGAAGGGGATTGTTGAAGACGTAGGTCAACAGAGACGGATTGTTTTCAGAGTCGAGCACCGTCTGTTTGCTGCGTCTGAGTTGCAGGTCTAAGGTTTGTTTCCATGTTTTTAATGAGACCTGGGGATTGCATTTTTACAATTTGTCATCCACACAGCTGGAATGTCGAATGTTTCCAGGCTACTCTTTGCACATCGTTTTTTTATATCTCCATTCCTCAAGTTGTATTGCTTTACTTAAATCCTAAATCTTCTTCAATGCTGACACATTTTCTACGTGCAAGTATTGTTTTTTTCTAGATGTTAATTACTTGATCTACAAGAAATGATAACCAACTGTGAAAACTAAACAGCTAAAGTTGGATTTTAAAAGTATCCCATCAATATAAGCATAAACTAAACTAAGCTACCTGTCTCTACTATCTCTTGAGCTATTAGTGTGGAGTGCAGGTTTACTTGTTGAAAACAGGCAGAATTTATAACGGTAGCGTGACACACTGATGAAGTCATTTACTGGGCTTTCCAAAATGTGAAGAGAATTTCAACAAATATAGCAGAAAAGTGAATCTGAAATAAGTTGTCCTCTGCTCTCAGGAACATTTCAGGAGTCAACATAGAGTGTTTTTATTTTCAGAGGTTTTAAAGGAGGTATTCGCACATTCAACTATCTGGTGAAGTAGGTGCATAGGACATCTAACCATCAATCTGAAAAGGAGAAATCCCATGTGCATTTTTACTTTTTGGTGTGTTCATTTTCAGAGAGGAAAGAAAGAAGATTAAAAAGTCATATCACTTTCTGCTTTTTACTTATGATTTTGCACATTATATATTTATAAAATGACAACGGATCCATTGGATTGTCACCTGCTGATATTGTGGATTTTACAGTGAACAAAATGTTTTCATCTAAACTATTTTTGAAGTAATTTAAATCAACCAACAGTTGTTCTGCCCTGAATCATGAATCATTATCAATCTAAATAGTAAGAATCTGGGGAAATGGCAGTTTAAATATATACTGTTCATTAGAATATTTAAAAGGTTTTTGACTTGTATGTAAATGTAGCTCACATCATTGACATACATTTAAAAACCATGTGGGTGATGATAGACTGGCAGCAAGTGAAGCCTTTCAGGACTCGTCTACTGTTGTGGTTATAAGAGTAGCAAGCGGACGTGTCTGACACAGAAACACCGGCTGATTCTACTATCGCGTTGTTGCATAAACTTAGTTAAAGGAAGGAAGGGAATGTGTTGAAATACCTCATAAACAGATTTTTTTTTAAAAGGTAATATGAGAAATTTATCAGGAGACGATAACATAAGTAGCTCCTTGAAGAGCTGCAGTGCACGCTGTGTGAAGCATCAGACAGAGTTCACCTTCAGATCCTTTCCAAAATCCTGACCTGTCACCAAGCTCTTAAACGTCGTCTCAGTCTTTATTGTTCTGTTTTGTTCTCGCAGTTTTCTGTCAGATAAATGTGGCAGCTTCAGCCAACACATTTGTTTTTAATGAAATAGATCATTTAGACATGGTTGAATTGCTTCAAACTGCAGCAGTAGTTTCAAATGAATTTTGTCCAAAAATCAGACTGCAACATCTGTGTCAGCTGTGATTTCTGTCACATCTTAGATTGTGGTCAACACAATGACACTGATGTTTTCTGAACATCTTTACTAAATACACCATCTCCACTGATGGACCTCAGTGTGAACAAACACATGACTGTGTTCATGTGGTGCTAATTTAACTTAAAATTGTAATACCAATCTGAACACATTATGACAAATTTAGATACAAGCTAAAACAAAAAGGTCAAAGACCCTGTTCAGAAAAATCCTAAAATTTTAATTGGAGGTGCTTTACGTTGTTTACAGAGCTGACTAAAGTGTTCAAACTGCAAATAGCAAAACCCTAAACTGATTAGAGAGTTCGATATAAACAACATAATAAAATCAACATGTGGCGGAGTCTTCCTCAATGAAGCATCCTCTCTGTGTCGGAGCCTCGTTCCTAAACACAACCCAGCATGGCGTCAGTGTGGATCGCCTGGGGTCAGGACTCGCAGTCAGGGACTTAAATCAAAGCAGGGCAGTCATCATCAAATTCTGTCAGTTACCTGGATTTAACAAAACAAAGAGCACTCCAAGAAATCTGCTGGCTAAGCCCTTTTCTCTTTTCTTCCTCATAATAATCCCCCCTGATGGTTTGTTTGGGCTCAACCGGGGCTGGAGGGAAGCAAGGGGAAGGAGAAAGTGAGGAGGTAAAGTGGGGGTCTTTGATGATGACGAGATTAGATGTAGCCCGGCAGACTGTCTCCTTCTGCCTTTTGCTGCGAGCTCTGCCTCACACACACCTATAGACTGCACATAAATACACTGCCACGCACACACATATATGTACGTTGAGCCGCATGCACAAGGCCACCCCCTTCCTCATTGTTGAGGAATTACTTGCTCTTTAGGGTCTTAAGTTACAAGAGCAATTGATCCCCCTGACCCCCTGCAAACCCTTGAGGTTGTGCTGGGAATCTGAGCTCCAATGTATACACACAGGAGACAGCTCAACCCCCAGAGCAGCACTCTTGACACTCCCCGGCACCCCTACAACACACACACACACACACACACACACACACACACACACACACACACACACACACACACACACACACACACACACACACACACACACACACACACACACACACCCCTCCTGTGTAAGTATGTTGCCTCTGCTATGGATGTAGCACTGCCTGCTGGTGAAAAAAATGCAGTACCATGGACAGAGTTCTGCACTGTTAGTATAAATAAAAAGCTGCAGCCAAGCACCAATTGCAGGCAGAACATATAATTTAACCTCAAAGATAAACTAGTGAGGCCACATGAGAGGTTATATTTTCCACTTTATGAACTTCAATAACTCAGAAATATGTTCCATGGTAGTTTTTGTAGCTATATATGAACCATTTTACCACCAGATTAGAGAAATAAGATCAAAGGATGACATCTGAAGCGCTCAGTGGCTAAAGATGGCTAATTTCAACAGCTTCCTATTAACAGATACATACATTGACTTCAGATCTCCGACAAACAGCCATTTGCCAAAAGTATCATGTTCTAAATGAAAGCACGTATAAGAAAATACTCAGATCTGAAAACCTGGAACTGGTGAGATTTTTAATTCTGTCCAACCAACACAATAAATGTGATAAGCAGCTTTTCTGTCAATAGTTTCATTGCTGTAGTTTTGGAAAAAGCCCACCAATCTTGCAGGAGCTCCCTTTGAAGCTCCTTCAGTGACTGAGACACGACAACATGGACAATATTTTGAAAGACTTTGAAGCATAAAGAAAGCTTCTTTTCTCCCATGAACCCCCTCTAAGCTCAACGGCTCCGAACAACTATTAACTCTTGACCTCCAATAATTATATTATTACAGGGGTCGACGTGCTTTAACAGCCCTTGCTGTGAGTCTGTGCTACACAGCAGCGTCGGACGTCACTGAATCACCCCTTAAACCAAAGAAGGAGCTCTTGGTTTCTAACAAATTGCTCTGCTCTGTTTATCTTGACACCTTCTTTCTGCTTTGAAAAACTTTTCATTTTTCAGATGTCAGCTCAAATGAAACACTGCCTCAGGTCACCGAGGCGCTGAGACGCTGAATGTTTAGAGACGTTATTAGATGGCTGGTGCCGGGTTACCCCTCACACCAAGGCAATTTGATAATTGAGGTTGTTAGAGCGGGAAAGCTGAAGGCCGAAGACAGCATGGTTATGCTATCAAAATAATCTCCCACACTCTGAGGTCACTGTCACAGTCACACTCATTGTGTCACTTTTCAATCCTCAGCTTGTCTCACTTCTGCCCTTAGCTGGATCTCACAGATGTGAGTGTGTGTATTTCTGTGTTTCAGTGTGTCTTGTGTTTGTGTGTCTGTGTGTATTTACACCCACTTTTAACCTGCCAACACAGCTTTGTGCACAGGGAAGCAATTGGCCTTTTTTAAAATATTTGACCAAATTACAGGAGCAAACATTGGATTGAAGCGAGTTTCCTCTGGTTTCCCTTTGCACACACACACTTGGACATTTTCTTGGGAGCAACACATCATGAATTTTAAGCTTATTAGAGATGGCTCTGTCAGTGCTCTGTATGCAGACGTTCACGGTTTTATTTATGAGAGCTGGTTGACGAGGAAATTGCACGTTTGATTGTTGTACTTCCGTGACTTGATGAATCATCGAAAGCAAATATTTTGCATTCACAGAGATAGACAGACATTGGTTGCCTGTCACATCCAATAAATACAAAATTATACATTTACTCTGGCTCGGTCTGAATGTAGTCGTGACAAAATAGTTTCCTGGTACATATATTTGTAGATATAAAAAACTCTAATTTAAGCTGTGTTGACATGGTTGACACTTTTAAAGGTGCAACTGAGGCATAGCTTTTAAAGAGACTCATTGACATAAAGGTAAAGCAGTCAAGTAATGCTTCTTCTTTCTTTTTTTTCTTGGCAGATCACAAACATCACCAAGCTCAAGGACTTTCTGCTACAACATAGGAAAGATTATGTGAGCGCCGGAAGGTAAGCCTCTCTATACACTCCCAGTAATCCACCACAATCAATAAAAAAGCAGCAGTGAAACTTTTCAAGGCTGCAGGGGAGACACAAACACTTTGGATCTAACGAAATGTAGAGGAGGTCAGAAGTCAGAGCTACTTGAACGTCCGCAGTTCTGCAGTGTGTGAGTGTGTGCTGCAGGGGCTGTGTGCTGGCACGGGGTCAGCAGCGAGTAGGGTGGTCTGCAGCGGCAGGCTCCAGTCTAATTGTCTGGAATAATTGAGCTGCAACCAAGTGAAGAACAAATCACGCCCTGGGACTAATCCAGGCCTTCCTCCCTTCAAGGCCCCCTCTGTGTTTGGTAGGTGTGGGTGTGTGGAGGAGCCTCTTGTTTTGTTAGGATTGTTGATAAAGTCTCAACAGAACACATTAACTGAACATTAAGATGTAGATGGGTGGAACCCAGCCGTATTTAGTGGTGGGAAAATCCATCAAGAAGCCATCGGGTCTGTGTTTGTGAGTCTCTAGCAGTTCCTGTCTTCCAGTTTTCTTATCAACTTGTTTCCTCCCCTGGACTTTAGATTATACTGAAATCACTTTCAAATCTCTATAGAAGTAGGGTAGATGGTTATCTACCATCTATTAATAAAACTTTTAAACATGTTTGTCCCAGTTGCCATCAAAGATCTTAATCTTAATAAAGGACACTCTAAAGTTAGCCTCATAATGCCCATAGCACCTTGTTTTAAATATTGAACACCCCTTCAGTATTCTCCATTGAGGACCTGGTGCCCTCCTGTAATCAAGCTCGACTGTCGGTTTTTATTATGTTTTGTTTCGTATTTTTAATGTTTTTTTTCTAATGTGCCACATATGTTAATGTATCTACTTGTGTTTAAGATTACTTTTATTTATAGAAGTCACAGACACATTTCTACCTCTCACATGCAAAAAGTACACTAAGTATTTTCTATTCTGTTCAATTCTGTTCTATTGTTTTAGAGCAAGTGTGGTAAATGTTAAAAGCTCCTTTTGTTTTTTATCTTTTATCTTTTATCTTATTGGTTTGTTTTTTTTCAGGCTGCAATTATTGATTATTATCATCATTAATGAATGTGTATTATGTTTCCTGTTTGTCTTTAAGATGTCAGAAAAACAATCATAGATGACCATCAGTGTTTACCAGAGCCTGATGTAACACCTTTATATCATTCTTTTAAGTACAACTTGTGGTCAGAAAACCCAAAAATGACAAAAACAAGTACCGTAGTTATCCTTTTTTTTAATTGGAAAATGACTTAAAAAAATTGCACAATATCTCTGAAGTTGCTGGTCCATTTTACATCAGTCTACTCAGCTTCAGTTTTATTATGAATCATGTCAGGATAAAAGTTTATTCTGGAAATTAAAAGATAATTAAGATTTATCTTATCAGGTTTATTGACACCCTCAGTGTACCAATCAAAATCCACCATCAATCATCGTCATACAATCATCACCAGCACTCTGTTTTCTAAGATGACAAGGGTGTGTTTGTCTTAGAAGTCCACCAGGGGGAAACATTTAGTCTACAACACCTGACAGCAGGAAGGTCCTGCTGTATGATTGGTGCAAGTTTCCTCACATTGTTTCTGTTTCATCAATAAAGAGCTGGGATTCATCTGAAACTTAACTTTCAGCAATATGATGAAGCTTGAATTTGTGGTATAGCACTCAGGCCTTTGAAATCCTGAATAGAAATACAGATGTGCAGAAAACAAAATTGTTAAGGAGCTGCAAATCATTTGTCAGTAATAGTTCCAATTGTAACTAAGATGTCCTTTGTTTGAATTTCAATCAAATTTTCTGATTCTGTTTTTTAAAATGTCCACATGGTGAGTATTCAGGCTTACAGTGATTGTTTTGTGTCTTTCAAAGTCTCATCTCATCAGATCTTACCCGAATGACAGACAATGAGCGAGACCAGATTGACCAAGACGCTCAGATCTTCATGAGGACTTGTTCTGAGGCCATCAAGCAACTACGCAATGAAGGTATGTGTCTTATTTGAAACGTAAAAAATGCTCTCAGGGGCTGCTACTTTCGTCTGGCATTATACAGCGAACATTAAAGATACAAGTCTGAGATTTTTATTTTCAAACTTAGCTTTGAACTGTGTTGACTGCCATGACATAAGCAGGGATAACTCATAACTGAGAGGAAATGTGATGTGTGTACCTTTTTGACTCTGAAACAAAACCAGAGAGTTTGTCTTTAATAAGTGAATGTTTTACAGCTGAGAAGCAGGTGACATCCGCACAGATAAAGGAGCACATGGGGGCGGTGCTGGACCTCATAGAAATGTATCTGAGAGGTGAGATCATACAAGTTATTAAAAAGTCAGGAAACACATGTTTTATGCATACAAACATCTTCTGACAGAGCTGAAAACACAGAACCAATATTTCAGAAAACAGGAAGCTTCATAACATCATGTGTGTTTTGATTGCATTTCAGGAGTGTGTAAGCTGTACTCAGAGCAGAGAGCAATCAGGGTCAAGAGAATGGTGGACAAGAAGAGGCTGTAAGTACCTCACACTATTCATAAACTATTTTATTACTTAGTTCCATTTTAAGGGTGTTAGAATTGCACTCTCTTTATTCACTTGAGCGTGTGATCTGTGGCTTCAGGTCAAGACTTGCACCCGAGCACCACAGTCGGGTGGAGAAAACACCAGAGGTAGAGCCCACAGAGGAGAAGACTGTCAAGGAGGAAAGTTCTGGTAAGTTAGAGAGTCCCCTGAAATATTGGAATTCTCCTTCATTCGTATGTTCTTTGCCTCAAAGTACCTGTGTTCTTGAAGCTGTGCCATGTAACCACATATTATAAAAATGGTTTAGCAGTCTGTACTACAGATGAATGGGTTTCTAAAACCTGTGTATTATCAGCACCTGTCTCTTCTAAAGCTGTATAAAGGCAGCAGAACCTATTTGTGTGAAATTTTAAAAACCTCTACTTTAACAGATGCCTTACACGGTGCATCCATAATGTGAGTTATTGCAACTGTTTAGATTTAAAAAAAAAACATGTAGTTGTATTTCTGCAAGTTAATGCAATCTAAACAATCAGGCTGTGGTAATTGTGGGAAACATTTCACACTGTACTGAGACAGATATAATGACGTCTTCCTTGTCCTTAAGCTGAAAAACACTGATGTGCTGAAATGTGTGTGTTGAGGGAACATGGCATTTGGACTTGTAATTATCTCCAGTCACAGAACGGTCACATTCAAAAAAAAAAAAGGCTAATCATTAATATTCCTCAGGCAGCATATTAGTTTAGCTGTATGTCACTTAGCAACTGAACCTCTCAGACATGAAAAATATTTCTGAACATTGAGATGCCCTGTGTCTCTCTTATCCGTTTAATGAGTTGTTTTTTAACAAGCCCCATGGAGCGTGCGCAGCCAAGTGGGAGATGAGTTATATTTGATGATACACTCACACTCTTACAATTCTTATTACATCTGTTTCCACTTCCTGCTTCATTATTTCAAACATATCCCATATTCATCTGAAAAAAAACCGAACTGGATTAGTGGTGTATTTTTACTTTCAAAGGAGAATCAGCAGCCAAATAAGTGATTCAGATAAAGAAAAAGACTGACCCAATAAGAGTATTTTGAAATTCATGAAGATATTTAATATTGTCTGTTTTCTCTCCTGTAGAGAAGATAGTGTCAGAGGTCCTGGACAACAACACAGTCAACCTGTGGGAGGAGGGCCGGGTGGAGGACGAACTCTCTCCAGAGGAGATCCAGATGGTACAGCACCTTTGACATCATTATTTCATGTTTACGTCATGTGTATTTGTAGATTTCTATGATTGTCTAAGCAATGCAGTGCAACCAAGTTAAGCACACAAACACTGTTTAACTCTTTTTGGGGAAATATAATTCTGTTGAAAAGGTCCAAATGAGACTAATATGAGATATTTGTCATTTGAAAATACCTCCCATAGAGTCAAGTATATTCTCGTAAAACATTATTAAATCCACTCAGTGTTTCTGCTTGATAGCAGCATATTTAAACTTGTGCTCACATTGTTACAACCATCTTAGAAAGGGGACAGGTGGCCTAGCAGGAAGTTTGCGCCCCATATACAGATTGTAGTCCTCAAAGCAGGCAGCCTGGGTTCAAATCCGACCTATGGCTCCTTTCACGCATGTCATTACTTAAACTATCCACTGTCCTATCAAAATAAAAGCTAAAAGCCCAAGAATAAATCGTTAAGAAAATCTTACGCTGACACAACCATTAATGATGAGGATTCTTAATGATCATGTTTGTGTTTAGTTTGAGCAGGAGAACCAGAGGTTGGTGAGTGAGATGAACAGTCTGGTGGATGAAGTCAGGTGAGCCAAACTGAGCACATACCTTACTCTCCTTTTTAAGAGGGCTTTTGAATTTCTACTTTTTAACAGGGAATGTCTGTGATTTCATTTTTTTCACACATCAGTGACATGAAAGTGATCATTATTTTTAGAGGCTCTCTAGAATGAATGTGTTCCACATTGCTACATTCTGCCATTAAATGAAAAAAAACAAAAAACAACAGGAAATACCAGGTGAGGAAGACAATAATTATGTAAAAAAACATCCTGTTTGCTTGGAAGCCACCAAAGAGAGTCAGGGATATGCTTTTAACAGATGTTCCTTTGATGGAAATAGCAAAACAACAATCTTGTCATTCTGATATTATATGTTAGTGCTGAAGGCAAAATGTTTTTTTTTAACGTAAATTTAATGCTTGACTTTTCTTTGACCCTTAGGCAAATCGAGGGGAAAGTGGTGGAGATCTCTCGGCTGCAGGAGATCTTTGCAGAGAAAGTCCTTCACCAAGTGAGCCTTATTCCTACGGGTTTTTCCCCCCTGGTTGCTTAAATGTCCGGAGTTTAAAGGGAGAACTTGAACACTTCTCAATTTTACTTTCCATTGCAGGAAACAGAGATAGATAGTATTCATCAGCTGGTGGTCGGGGCTACAGAAAATGTCAAAGAAGGCAATGAGGATATACGAGAGGTAACACACACACATTCTATACATGCTTTTCAAACTTCTTATGGTTTCTTCTGAATAAGTCTGATCTGTAAAAATGTGTTTCCTCTTCTTCATTCCCAAGGCAATCAAAAACAACGCTGGCTTCCGGGTTTGGATCCTGTTCTTCCTGGTCATGTGCTCTTTCTCTCTCCTCTTCCTGGACTGGTATGACAGCTAACACAACGAGTGGCAGTGACTCTATATGACAGGAAAATGTCTGACTCCAGCACATAGAGAAGCAATCGACAATACTGAGACTGAATGTACAGATTACGGAGCTTAACCTGGTGTACAAGGTTAAAAGTGCTACCCATGAAGAACATGAAGAAGATCCTGCACTCAAGTGGAGCCTTGTTGTTCATTCTTCCCTGATGCTAATTGTCTACCTTTAATGTTTAAAGCACTTCTATGGAGGCGAGCTTTGTAATTGAGCAGTGTCCGCTTTGTGTGTGTACGTTTGGATTGTCTGTCATCCTTTACCACTAAAAGCAGTAATAATGATGGCAGCAGCTACTCTTTTTTTGAGCAAAAGGAAACTACATTAATTTGTATCTGTTGATTCCTTAAGGAAGAAACCAGAGGATTAACCAATGTGCAAACTGGCATTTCACTTTCTCATTGTAAATATTTAATTAGACCATAAACTTGTGTCCCTCAAGGACATGTCATTAATACTTCACTGTTCAATGCTGAGAATATTTTGCCTTTTTTGCAGCAGAACCATTTATTTGATATCACTTACATCACAGCTGTACTGAGACACCACTCACACACTAGTAAAATTGAGCAGTTCTCACACTTACATTCTATATTGTGTGACATTCATCTGCAGAGTTAGCATGTTCTATCTCTGCTTGTGTTTACTTCAGTCTTTTCCCTCAAAGCAAAGCCATATCTGTCGATATAACTGAGTGTTAATGGTTGTCTGGTGGCCCATACAGAAGTCTATTTCAGACGTCAGAAATGTTGTACCTAGGACATAATAGATTGATCTTCCTCTTTTACTTCAGGATATCAATTTCCTTAGCGCCGTCTTTAATAGGCGCTAATTGAGACCCTGGTGCCTGCGGTCAAAATGAACATAGTTCTTCAAAAGGTCCCTACTCCTGGGGGATAGTTCCTCCGGTCAAAAGGGGGGCTTCTGTCAAGCTTTCAGATAACATCAAGAACACCAAAAACTAGTCCATCTTGGTTAATATCAGCTTAATATCAGCTTAACATAAGCGACTTAAGACAGGATATTTTATTCCCACAATCTCTTGATATTTCCGTTTCTGTTGTTTTTTAAGATTAGTTTGATAAAGCTTTCAAATGTTTCTGTGGCTTGAGGGAGTTTTCACATTTTACTGATGTGATTTATTGTAAAAAAAAAAAAAGTTTATGAAAATGTCTGACTTCAGTAATGAAAATTAACTTACACATTGGCATGAAATGCGGGCACTTTATTTCAGTTTTTCATTTGACATGTTTATGTAGCAAATGCACTTCAATGGTAATCATTACATTGTTTGAAAAGGTACATCATTTGTGACAGTTTAAGTTAGAGGACAAATACAGAAAAAAGCAACAAGACAAGCGACTGCTCTTAACTTTACATCAACCTAAGTCTATTATCTGTGACGGCTACAAACAGCCGTCTGTCATGGTGACATTTATCAATGCAAAGCATTACACAATACAGTGTCTTCACTAGAAATGCCAAAAACATTCAGTACAGTTGAATAAACTGTATGCAAAGAAAAGTCACCATTAGGTGATGTCAAAAGAAAAACCCCATGGTGTTCACACAGAGTTCAAATGAATGGAGACAATCATTAATGCTGGTTCAAAAGACTTGATGCATCAAATACTAAAAACTCCTTTACAGCACCTTATTAGAATCAGAGAAACATATTCAGAGAGCGGTAAAGGCTGTATCAAAACAACATCATTAAAATTGTTTTTTTTAATCGCTGGTTAAAAGCTTTCCTTCAGGTCAAGGATCATTAATCCACAATATTGTAACAATGAAATAGTTTGATTCAGATACCCTCAGTGGTAAAAATGCTGCAAACTGTAGAATTTACCACTCACATGCACTAACAGTACTTAATGTGTTTGAAAAGAAAGGAGAGTCAAAGCAAATTGATTGTTTTCAGATTCTTGCGTGCGGTGCATTAAAAGAAGCGACGCAGACAAGAGATGGTTCACAGTCATTTCACAAAGTGAGTACTAAAGTGGGTTCTATTACATGTGTCTATGTACAAAGACAGTAAGTGTGTGTGTCTGTGTTTATATTCCAGTGGCGTTTTGTATACGTCCACCACTCTCTTTTGATGTGTAAATAAGTAACAACATATGCTATTCAAACAAACCATGAATCCACCAAACTGTAAGGCTTGTTCAAAGTTTCCACACACTCCCTGCTACAGCACACACCAGCAGACCAAACTACATCAACAAGGCAGCAGAGCACCTCAGGCAATGAGAAAAGTCGATTTTCACCCACAGAAAGCCACTGGACTCTCTCAGGTTTGCTTGAATGGCACAACCAAGTTATTTATTTGTTTATTAATTTTTCTCTGCAGGGAGATCGCCTCCTGATCTCATGTAGGTTAAGCCAGCTTCTGAGCGGTTTCCATCTCCTGCTGTGTTACCTTCTCCTCAGACATGATGGTCATCCACGGTGATACTGACCGAGTGATGGTCTGCTTGGCAATGTTGTAGTGGTTGATGAGGGTGAAAAGGCGCCCGCGGCCCCCAGGGCCCTGAGGGGGGTAGCCTCCATATATCCCAGCCGGCATGCAGCGACCTTGCTGCTCCAAAGAGAGAGAGGACGGGATTTATAAGACCAGGAAGTGATGAGTCCATAAGGACAATAAACAAAGTTAGAAAATGGGATGAATGGGATTCTGAGAAACAAAACTGATTCACAGCCCAGTTAGACCTAAACATTTAAACAAAGTGACAAAACTGAGCTGTGCGGTTTAACACTGAAATACATCTTAATTCAAGTTCAACTTTAACACCTCACAAATGTAACAGTTTAAAAGCGACATGAGGAAGAATTTGCTCAACAGCAACTTATACAACTACATGGGACTGTTAAACGTTTAATGTACTGTTAAGCATTAAGCTTAAATGCTAAACTAGAAGAACAGAACAGGTTTGTAAATAAGTCACAAAGACAGATTAAGCTTATGACTGAAACTAACGTTTGCTAAACTTAGCTGCATATGCATAAGCAACCAGACTGGACTACAAAACATAGAAAGGTTGTATCAGCTGATCTCATGTAAAGGATCGTGCAGTGTTATATTTTGTGGATTCTTTTATTAATGTTAAATTCTTGAGAGCAACATGGTAACTAATGACATTCACATCTAAATGCTGCCTTCAAATAGAGTTCATATGTAACCGCTCTTGCCCACAATAATTAACCTAATTGTTTTAAGATATTATAATGAATTCCAATTATATTTAAATGGTAGCCACGTGTTAAATGTACGATTAAACTTCTCTCAAAGTTCCTTCTACATGGAGCAGGGTTGTTAAATTTACAAAAGGATATCCGTGCAATGTCTCCCCTACAACAGATGGTAATAGAAACACAATAATGACAACCTGCTTGTCTAGTGTTCCATCAATAAGGCACTTTTTATATATTAAACCAGGTTTATATATCACTTCTCAAATGACTGTTGTTAGATTGAAATGATGATCATAAATCACTATCAGGCTGTGTCACAAACAATGGTGTTACCATGTAAACGAAGCTGTCAGGGCAGGGCTGCTCGTACTGATAGACCTTGTAGACCACCAGAAACACCACACACACCAGGAAGGCCAGGGCACAGATCACCAGCAAGGTCATCTAAGGGAGACACACAACCTCCCAATCATCAGACTCAAATCCACGCTGTTTGGCTGTTTGGCTGTTTGTGTGTGTGTGTGTGTGTGTGTGTGTGTGTGTGTGTTGGGGGGGGGGGGGGGTAGGTATTAACGTTATATTAATTTAACTGGTTAAATAGTTGGTGTAGGTTGAGTTTATTATATATAATAACGAATCAGGGATTCCTGACTAATTAGTTAATCAGCAAAGGGCTTTTGTGACCATCTGTACAGCCCAGTGCTTGGCTCCCAGTGGACTTATGTAAAAGTTACTGGTGTTTCTGGGAGGGGGAAAAGACAATGTGTGGGAGAAATAGCCTCATTATTGCTGTGATGTTGAGCCCTGAGGTGTTTGGAAGTTATGAGTTGATGAATGTGTTACTTTTCCTGTTTCGCATTGGATTTTTTTTCTTTTCAAGCGATCAGATAAACTGTCCAACATTTCAGTGAAAAGGTTTAAATCCTGATACAACTGTTGATTTTCATTGCATGCTGTGTTTTGTTTTTGTATTGCATGCTGTGCTGACTGAAGATTATTGGGGATTTCTTGGTTTCAGTGCAAGCTAACATGACTACAAGTACATTTTGTTCTGTTTCCCTGTATGTTTGTCACAGGTCTGATAAGACTAAAGAAACACCACATTTATCTGAACAAAAGTACATTCTCTTATCAGTCTGTTTGAAGCCTGCATATACAGAACAGACAGGGGAAGACGCTCAGAGGAAAGCAACAGGAGATCTGCGATGAAAGGGCTGCCTGCAGCATTTCAAAGCACCGGTGTGAGGATGCGAGCTGTGTTCTCTGAGACAGTGATGTGTCTCCTTTCCTTTTAGATGTTGGAGAATTAAAGCTCTGTCATGAAAGGGAGCTTGAAACGTCCCACAGAGATAGTTTCATCTGTTGATTTGGAATGTGTAAGGGAGATTATTGCAGAATCAGTGTGCAGAAGATGTATGAGTTTTATTTTTAAAGTTCAGTCACCAAACTGCTATGCAGCCAAAAGTGTGTTTTATCCCTTTTTATTTTACAAAAAATGTGTGTTTTCGGATCATTCTTTACCTTGTGGACACTTAAACACATCTGTAAGCTAAAGGGGAAGGGGGGGGTTGGTGGGAGAGATGCAACCATTTAGAGGCCATCGCCATGGCAGCAGCTGAATTAATGAGCGTTTCAGGGCGGGGTTAAGTGAATCATTGTGCATTACGGCTCCTTGTGTAGCCAGGCAGGAAAACAAGGCAGCAGAGGACACAAGAGGTGGAGGTGTCCTGAACTAAGAAGACACAGCGTGTAACTAGGATTGGTTAGGGACTCTGGGATGGAGGTGACAGCTGTCTCCTCCCCCGCTCATGTGCATGTGTGGGGGTGTGAGAGAAATGGGTTGATGTTTAAAACACAGACAGTGGCAGTGATATTCTTCTTACTTTCAGTCGCTCAGATACGCCTTCAATGATACTTATGGAGAACTCTGCGATTTTAGGAGATCGTAGCTTCCCTGTCTTGCTCTCACAATCATAGTCTGCCTTTGTTTTAACCACCACCTGAAATAAAAACAACAACAACACACACGTTCTTCAGCTCAAAGTAACAGTGTCAGGAGGACAATAAGAGTCCAAAAGAGAAGGATGCGGGACAATTTTCCACAGAAAAAATATTACATTTGTAATGGGATACCCCGAAAATGAGTCCCTAATTGACACCATCTTAATTGGTCTAATTGGGATCTAGAAATAAATACATCAAGGGAAAATTGGTCCTTAACATGACACTCAAAATCAATGAAAACATATCAAACAAAAGAATCTTACCTTATCAGGTGGAGGGAACT